CTTCCGATCTCCCCAAAACCCCAAAACCCCTGAGTGATTCATTTTGAAATCGATTTGAAATAGAAATTGTGCAATACTAAATCACGGTAAAAAAAGGAAACTTTTAATATGATATATTGCTACTATCCAATAATATAAATCTAATAAAATATCATTTGCGAGAAGATATTACATCAATGAGCAAATCTAAGACTAACAACCATGAGTTGTCCGAGCCCCTTTTGGGTGTCGGAGACTCGAAACAGGGCTTTAAATTTACAACAGAATAGCTATGGTATGACTCTAAACCCTTCTTATAATACTCTTTATAGTGATCTCTTTCACCCTGACAACATCAAGAACTACAAAGAAGACACTAAAATTTCTATTTCGGTTGACTCTCTTTGGTCCAAGTTCGGTGGAGCACCAGGTCTTGCAGCAGGGCTTAAATCTGACCTTAAGGTATCAATTAATATACTTGATCAACCTCTTAACATACTTTATACAGGTTGGAATCGAAGGAACAACTGACGATGTGAAGGCTAGAGTTGATAAGTAAGCAAATTCCATAAAAATCTGAATTCAAATTTAGATATGGTACAAACAAAAAAAGAATGCCAAGAATAAGAACACTCATTGAACTTATACTCGAGAACTTCGAAGATAGAATACTCCAAATTCTACTGATGGCTGCAACCCTAGCTCTAATTATCGGAGTGGTATAACATGGCTGGAAGCAAGGTTGGGTTGAGGGAACATCAATCTTTTTAGCTGTCACCATTATTGTATCTGTCACAGCTGGAAACAACTATGTCAAGGAGAAGCAATTCTAGAAGCTAGTCTCTAAGGCTAGTGAAGACTACATCGCAACATATAGAGGTGGTGAGGGAATGACTCAGACAATTATCAACAATGACCTAGTTGTTGGAGATGTCATCAAGATCGAAGCTGGTATGAGAATCCCAGCAGATTGCGTACTTATAGAAGGTACAGACATCGCTGCTGATGAGAGCGCCATGACTGGAGAGCCTGAGCAAGTTGAGAAAGCTGCCATAAACCAACACAACTACATGCACAATCCAAATCCATTCTTGATTGGAAAGACCCTCATTGAATCTGGACAAGGTCTTGCCATTGTCTGTGCAGTTGGTGTCAATACTAGATCAGGTATGGCTGAAGAGAAATTAAACATTGAAGATGAGATGACTCCCCTCCAAGCTAAACTTGAGACTATTGCCAATGAAATCGGTAAAGTTGGTGTCTATGTTGCCATCCTCACCTTTGTTGCCATGACCATCAACCTCTGTGTCACAATCTACCTTGACGAGACAAGAAAGTTCGCCACAGTCGAAACTCTAAACAAGTTCATTGACTTCATCATCATTGCAGTAACAGTTATCGTAGTCGCAGTCCCAGAGGGTCTACCACTTGCAGTCACTATTTCTCTTGCCTTCTCTGTCATGAAGATGAAGAAGGAGAACAACTTGGTCAGAAAACTCGATGCTTCTGAGACCATGGGAGGAGCCAACGAAATTTGCACAGATAAGACTGGAACTCTTACCAAAAACATGATGACAGTCAAAGAGTTCTACTCTCTTGATCAAGTCTACCAAGGTAGACCAGCTAACTTCAAGAACTTGAAGACCTATACTCTCCTCAGCGAGGGTGTTCTCTTCAACTGCAGCGCAAGAATTGAAAGAGATGATAATGGAAGATTCATTCCTAAGGGCAACTGCACTGAGCAAGGACTTATTAACTTCCTTATGGATGTTGGAGTTTAAGCTAATGAAGTAATTAGATAAAAGGAGAATAATATCCTCCAGCAAATTCCATTTAACTCAGCCAGAAAGAGAGCTTGCACCATCCTCAGAGATCACAACGACCCAAAGAAGATTAAGGTCTTCAGCAAGGGTGCTCCAGAAATCCTTATGGACTACTGCAGCAAGTACTTCACAACAGAAGGAACTTAAGCCGCACTCACTCCAGAATCAAGACAAAGAATCCTTAAGGAAATAGTTACTGAACAATTCGCAAGAAAAGCCTACAGAACTCTCCTTATTGCTTATCAAGAGTTATCCATTGATGAGTACGAAAGACTTAAAGCTGAGAACAACAACTTCTAGACTGAGAGAGACAGAGAAGCTCTTGAGCATAACCTTACCATCATTGGTATCTATGCCCTTTAAGACCCACTTAGAGATGAAATCGTTGAATCAGTTAAGAAATGCAAGAAGGCTGGCATTAATATCAGAATGGTGACAGGTGACAATCTAGACACTGCTAAAGCTATTGGAGTTGAAGCTGGTATTGTTTCAAAAGAAGATGTTGACCAAAAGTATGTCTGCATGGAAGGTAAACAATTCAGAGAATTAGTTGGAGGACTTAAAAAACTTGAAGATCCAAGTGACAGAGGTCTCACCAGAGAAGAGATTGGAAACAAGAAAGTATTCAGAGATATTGTAGCCAAACTTAAGGTTTTAGCTAGGTCTACTCCAGAGGATAAGTACATGCTTGTTACTGGACTTAAAGAGATGAATGCTGTCGTTGCCGTTACTGGTGATGGTACTAATGACGCTCCAGCTCTTAAGAAGGCTGATGTTGGTTTTGCTATGGGAATCACTGGAACTGAAGTTGCCAAGGAAGCCTCAGATATTATCCTTTTAGATGACAACTTCGCTTCAATTATTACTGCAGTTAAATGGGGAAGAAACATCTACACTAATGTTAGAAAGTTCCTCCAGTTCCAACTTACCGTTAATGTCGTCGCTATGTTTATCGTCTTTATGGGAGGAGTTGTTGTCGCTGATCCACCCCTTACTGCTGTTCAAATGCTTTGGGTTAACCTCATCATGGATACCTGCGCTGCTTTAGCTCTTGCTACTGAACCACCTCATGATACAATCCTCGATGAACCTCCTTATAGCAGAACTGAGTTGATTGTTACTCCTGTTATGTGGAGAAACATCATGGGACAAGCAATCTTCCAAGCTACCTTCCTTATAGTTATGCTTTTTGCTGGAAAGCAAATCTTCGGATATGAATACTCAGAAACCACTCCATTCTATTATGAAGTTGATGGAGTAAATGTCCCAACTGAAAAGACTAGACATTTCACTATGATCTTCAACACTTTTGTGTTCATGTAAGTCTTCAATGAGATCAACTCAAGAAAACTTGGAGCCTATGATTACAACGTATTCTCTGGCTTCTTCAACAACGCTCTTTTCATTAGTGTTATTATTCTTACTATTGTTGTGTAAGTTGTACTTGTTCAATATGGTGGAAAACCAGTTAGAACATGCCCAATTTCCTGGTAAGAGCATTGTATTTGCCTTGGCATTGGACTATTATCATTCTTCCAAGCTGTCCTAGTCAAGACATTCCTCCCTGTCTCATGGTTCAACAGATTCCATATGAAGGAAGAGGCTATGTCAGACGAGGATGAGAAGCAAGCCATTACATCAACATTTAGAAAGAGTTTCAGATCCTCACTCAGAAGATCTGCTAACTCAGAAAAAGGAAAGTCTCGCAAGTAAAATTGAGAGAGTATCCTTCAAACCCCTTTATTTCAAATTTCTATATTAATCACTATCCTTTTATTTCGTAAGATTCATCACTTTCTTTTTTCCTAAATTAGTAGCCATGGGGTTTTGGGGTTTTGGGGAGATCGGAAGAGCACACGTCTG